CTCCTACAGACAGAGACAACCGGTTCAGGAACAGAACACCTCCCGACCCCTCTCCAGGGTCTCCGAGTGGAAGGAACCTCAGAGATCCAGCGGGAACAGGCTGAGGGACAACCTGTGGAACTGGGGTCTCACAAAGCTTGGTTAACATATGTCTGTCTACCTGCCCCAGATCATCCACTGGGCTGCCACTTGAAATCAGTGTCCTTTATAAGCACATAGGGTTATCCTACCTTCCCTGTCCTTCCTCTCACAGGAGGCAGCAGCCATAGTAAGGTGTAGCCTCTTGTTTTTCAAATATATATATGTGTGTTGTAACGTAAAGTTGTCATTTTAAGTACCTTTTTTTCTTACTAGGTTTTGATATAAGGTCTCACTATGTAGCTGTTGCCAGCCTTGAACTCACCACCCGCACACCTCGGCCTCCCATGGGTTGGGAATTGCAAATGTGAGCAGAAAAAAATTCATATTGTGTTAAAAACAAAAATTTGTACATATCATAACATCTACAATATTAGTCTCTCTCTCTCTCTCTCTCTCTCTCTCTCTCTCTCTCTCTCTCCTCTTCTCTCCTCTTTCACACCATCTTCTTTTTTTAAAATTTTTGAGATAGACTCTCTCTGTGTAGCCCTGGCTGTCCTGGAACTTGCTCTGTAGACCAGGCTGGCCTCGAACACACAGATCCCCCTGCCTCTGTATCACCACACCCGGCTTGACAGTATCTTTTCCAAGGTCTTTCAGGTAGATAGCACATGCATTGGGGTCACAGGCCCCCACACCCTGTGTGGCAGAGCCCTGAGGATGTCACCCACACAAGCTGAGGCAGTGACCACCCACGGAGTTGGTCTCAGTCACACCCCAGTTTCTCACACAGGGAGCCACACACTCTGCCTGGCTCTCCCAGGCTGTCTCACAGGATACAGGCTGTGTAGATTGTGTCCAGCTCCTCGGGACACACTGCGCCCTCATACGCATACGTGGTGACGGAGGATCCTGTCCTTGTACTCACGTGTGGTGTCATAAACAGTCACACGGACAAACCCAAAGCCACCTCACGCATCATTTCACAACCAACAACAGAAGTGGCCACACCATGACATGACAGGTCACATGCAATGTCCCCTCAGGTAGAATCTCAGCACCATGGTCCCTCAGACAGCTGGCGTACCCACGGATACACAAATTTTCTCCACAACTACCCTAGCGTGGTACCTGACACCGGAATGTCATCCCAGTGGGGTGGGGGTCCTCTCTCTCTCTCTCTGTCTCTCTCTCTCTCTCTCTCTCACACACACACACACACATATTCCCTCTCTCTCTCTCTCACACACACACACACATTCTCTCTCACTCTCTCTCTCTCTCTCTCTCTCTCACACACACACACACACACACACACACACAGAGGCATCTCCACCCCCTACACCAGATTCTCACAGGCTCTCCTCTTTCCACCACATGGGTCCTGGACATCCAACTCCTGGTTTGACTACGAGCAATTTTGCCCTCAGAGCTGTCTCTCCCGACAGCCCAAGGTCTGTTTCCCTCATGGCTGAAGTGATGTGAGGGGGACGTGGCTCTGACACACATCGCCACCCGCCATACGTGGCTTTTCCCACTTGCAGTCACAGAAACTATACCTGGGTCCTTTCCCACACATACCCACTGCACAGTGTGGCCCACGCAGGTGACCCCTCATGGTCCTCGACTACCCTCAAATCCAGTCACTCACAGCTGTGTCCCCATTTCCGTCTATCACTTCCTGTCTTTTCAGGCCTGGCAGGGAGTTCAGGAAACAATCCAGCACTCTAGGAAACCCCAAGGGCTGAGACTCTGGGGACCTGGGTCTGGATTCTCTGGCCCTAGCCTCCAGAGGGTCTGGAGCAAGCAGCGCCTCTCCAGGAGAGGACAGGACAGCAGCGGCTTGCTGATCCCCCGCTGTAACCAGACAGGCACAGGCTGGGGTCCTGGGCTGCCACAGCTCCTGTGACCCAACGGGGATAGGCTGGAACCTCCTGGGGACCCCGGAATACTGTGACAGTCAGAACCTTACAGCCTTGGTTCGTCAGCTCTTTCTACCACTCCTCAAGTTCAAGTCCCCCCTCCAACCCTCAGATCCTCTGTATCCACCCAGGACAGGACTGGTGGCTTCTGTTCCAGTAAAAGCTCCTAAGTGGAACCGTAGGGGGCTCTGAAAGGCTCTAGGGTTGGGGCTGAAGGTAGCCATCCAGTGACCCCCGAACCCCATTTACAAAGGCAAGCATCCCCAACTCCACACAGCCTCCCTTGTCCCTTCAGATCTGTTTCAGGCTAACAGGCTTAAACTACATGCCCTTCCCCAGACTCTCCTCCCCACCCCTTCCTTGTGCTATCTGGGGCTACCCACCCATCTCTCCAGACACCCCCAGGTTCAGTTTCCCTGATGGGTGGAGACCGAAGGCAGACAGGGGGATGAGGGATCAGGCACCTGAGGAGTCACCAACACAGCTGGCAAACCAGAGACCTGTCTCCTGCTCTCGGACGAGCTATCTCTCTCTCTTTTTTTTCTTTCTCCCAACAGCAGAACGAGTTAGGGTGTAAAAATTCAGTGATGGTGGACGCAAAGAGTCTGGGTAGACACAGTGTGTGCACACACTCAAGATTTCCTGCCAACCACTGACCATTCTGTTCCCCAAAGTGCTAATTAGCATTAATTACGGTTCCCTCCCTGGAGGTGGGGAAGGCCTGGCTTCCAGCCCCTCCCTGAGGAGGGGGTAATTCAGTCTTGTGTCCAGTCTTTGCCTAAGGGATGAGTAGACAGACGACCCCTCACCCTTCCCATGAAGGAATAAAAAGCATGTCAGACAACGGGGAAGACCAGAGCGGGAAGGAAAGACCGGACAGGTGTGGAGAAGGAAGGAGGTCCGGGGACTAGGAAGGGAAGAGGGATAGTCTCCTTCAACTTCTGTCTGCTTTCCTACTGGCCCCAGGAGGCAGCATCCCGCAAGCTGGCTGTATGTGTAAGGTTGTCCCAGACCCCAGCACTGAGGAATCCTGTGTGTATAGATCCAGGCTACGAGAGAGTTCGAATACACGGAGCCACTATAGACACCAGCCCCTCAACGCTCTGTCCAGCCCCCACCGCCATCCTCCAGGCTGGGCTACAAGTCCAGGCCTGACTTGGTTCTGCCCCTACCTGGAGAACTCGAGATACAGAGGGACACAGGCCCCGAGAAGCCCGGCCCCAGGCTTCGTTCGTTTCCCCCTTGCTCTTTAACAATCTAAGGCCTCAATCAGGGCCCCTGTTGGGGGACGGGAAGAGTAGGGGCTTCAGTGACACTGCCCGAGGGCCTGCTGGGGCTGGAAAACAGACCCACACCAGCGCCCCGGCCTCCCTTCTCAGGCAGGAATAAAGATATGACAGACAATGGAGAGGACCCGAGTGGGAAGGGAAGCCCAGCCGTTCACAATTGACAAGAACTTAACAAGTTCTCCGGAGAAGTGCGGGGAAGGCCCCAAATCCAGCCGCGTCCGGAGCGAGGCTCCTGGAGCAAGGAGCTGGGACTCGCCCGGACGCGGGCGGCAGAACTAGAGGGGACAGGCGTCCCCCCACCCCGCCCTTGGGTGCGCACACGCTCTAGGCTCACACTGTGGCTTCCCGATCACCCGGGCCAGGTCCCAGCGCAGCCGCGAGCAGCGCGCACACCGGCGCGCCCTGGCCAAGGCCTGCGTGGAGCCCGGGGCCCGCGGGCTCTCGGAGTCCAAAGGGCGCCCCGGATACGAGTCCCCGGGCGGCAGGCCCTCCAAGCCCGCGGCTCCGGGCGCACACCCCAGCACACGGCGGGGCCAGGCCCGGGCACCCGGGACACTCCGGGCTTCCCAGCCTCCGGGTCGCGGGGGGGTGGGGTGGGGTGGGCGGGGCTTCCCGGAGAGCGTCTCCCCCCTTCCCTCCAAAGTTCCCGGCACCCAGGTCCTGGGCTCGGGCGCGGGCTGGACAATAGCTCAGAGCCCCCAGAGTGTCCCGGGTCCCCGCCATCCAGAAGCCACCCGAGCAGTCACCTCTGCGCGCGAGGCCTCCGAGTTGCGTTCCCCGGGCTTACCTGCTCCGAGCTACGGGGGGCGCTCCGCCGGGCCGCTCCGCCGGGCCCGAGGGAGTAGTGAGGGGGGCCGGGAAGGGGGGTCGTGGGCAGGGGGATGGCCGGAATGTACGGAATGAGCCGGGCCGGAGCGGGAGGTGCTGGGCGCGGAGGAGGGAGCGAGCGGGACGGAAAGTTTGTGTTGAGGGAGCCGGGCGGGGGGTGGGGGCTGCGGGCGGGAGGGGCGGGGCCGGAGGGCGGGGCCAACGACGGGCGGGCCCACGGGTGGGCGGTGCTATTTGGGGGGAGTGGTCTAAGGCGGGCCGGGGCCTGCTGGCTCTCTAACCGCCCGGCCCCAAGGACGCCCGTCGCTGCGGACTCACACTCCCGCGCACCCCACTTCTCCCTGGTCATCTCAGAGTCCCCCCCTTCCCCTACACAGCCCCCTTGTGGGTACTCCGCTGAATCTTGAGGGATCGGGCCTGGGGCGGAGCCAAGAGTGGAGCTCTGCCCCCTGGGTTGGACTCCCGGAGATGTTTAGGGTCCTGGGGAGCCGGGTCTCGCCCAGCCAAGTGACACCCGAGCGAGCGCGCACGGGGTCTCGGGCTCCCCACCCTTCTACTCCGGTCCGCGGCAGCCGAGGCCTCTGCAGCTAGCTCCCCTCCCGCCATGAGCCCGCCCCCCACTCTGGGGCCCCAGACCCGGCTCCGCCCTGCCCGGACCCGGTTTGTCTGGTTCTCCCCGAGTGGCTTGTTTCTCGAATTTCTCCCTTTCTCCCTCTTCCTCTACCTCTGGGGCCCTCCCTCTCCTCTCTGCTGCCGGAGAGTCGGGGGCCCCCGGACCCTGCGCTCTCGCCGAGGTTCCATAGGACAGGAGAAGGGGACGTGGGAGCGCAGGACACGCGCAAACACCTGAGTCTACAACACACAGGAATCCAGGAACTACCGATGCGTCCCGCCCGGGACGCGACTTTATTGGGGATGTGGGTCCCTGACTCCGTTTCACCGTCGTCTCCTCCCCCCAACCTCCAGCGCGGGCCCGGAGGGGCCTCGAACATCTGACTCTGGCTCCCGGACAGGAAGTGACTGGGGAGGAGGGGGCGAGGCAAGTATTTTTGGGCGACCAGATGTTCATCTCCATCCCCTCCGCCTCGGCCGGTGCCAGGCTGGAGGGTGCACGGAGGTCACCGAGAGGCAGAGGGGTGAGCCCTTCCAAGGAGCTGTGGGGGAGGGACCCTGCCAACCCACAACCGAATGCTTTCCCAGCGCTGAGGGGCTGTGGGGTCACTCGCAGGCCAGCTTCCCGTCGAAGCTGGAGAGGGCGATGGCGAAGGCCTGCAGGGCGCACAGCGGGTACCGGTAGTCCAGGGTGAAGGCGTCCTCAGCCACGCGGCCGAACTGCAACACTATATAGTCGGCTGTGAACACAGACCGTGGGGTGACCCCATCTCTGCAGGCAACCCCCTAACAAAGCGAGGACTTGTTCCTTGATTAAGTCCTAGCCCCGTGCCTCTGGCCACCTTCCCCGTTCTGTGTCATCCAGTCAGCTCAGCCTGTACAGGGTCTGTCACACTGAGTCCGCAGGGCAGGGGCCTACCTTATCACCTGCCGCCTAGGGCTACAGTAAACCTGTAATCTAGCAGTATGGGACCTTGTCAAACTTGCCTAAACCAGAACCCTTCCCTCACCGGTTGTCTTTTGGCCTCATTCCTCTGGCCTGACCCGAGTCCTTAAGGCTAACCTTTGACTCTAGTTCAGACCCTTCTCTAATCCCAGGTATTCCCTCCCTTAGCCAGTTGCAGCTGGACTCAGGCCTCTCCCGTTCTGATCAGGGCTATCAGTTGCAACCAATCAGCCTCCCCCACTCCTCTTCTTCCCTTCTCTATCTCTTCTGAGACAGGACTTCATGTAGCCAAGGCTAGCCTTGAACTCCTCCTGATCCTTCTGGTACTTCTGTTCCCAAATGTCCTGAACCTGAAACTCTCTGAGGACAAAACTGGACACCTTAAAACAAATAAACAAATAAACATCCCTCCACCCCAGCTCTGGTCAGGGGGCAGACCAGACTCCTATAAGAACTAGCCTGGAGAGTAGTCCCAAGGCTGAGAGATAGGGGGTACTGGACACAGTACTGGCCAAACCCTCTAACCCGGACTCCTTTGTGTGGTACTCCTGGTGGGACCTCTCGCCCAAGTTTCTGAGAGGGACACTCATTTCCCTCAGTAAGTCTGTGACAGGAGACAGAGGACTGGAGAGATGGCTCAGTAGTTAGGAGCACATGCCGCTCTTCTGGGGGACTCAGTTTTGGTTCCCAGCACCCATAGGACTGCCTACAACTCCAGTGCCAGGGGATCTGACCCTCTCTGGCCTCTGTGGGCACCTTACACAAAGTGCATATAATTCAATGCAGGCACACACATAAAAATAATAAATCCACTGGGCAGTGATGGCGTGCGCCTTTAATCTCAGCCCTTGAGAGGCAGAGGCAGGTGGATTTCTGAGTTTGAGGCCAGCCTGATCTACAGAGTGAGTTCCAGGACAACCAGGCTTACACAGAGAAACCCTGTCTCGAAAAAAAAAAAAACCAAAATAATAATAATAATAAATAATAATAATAAATAATAAATCCTAAAAAAAACCCAACAACATAATAGACACTTAGAAATGCAGAGTCCATACTCTGTTTCTTGGTGCTTGCCACTAAGCCCGATGGCCTGAATGTGATTCTTAGAGCTCAAAGGGAAAAAGAGAGCTAACTCCAGCAGGTTGCCTGTGACTACACACACAGACACAGACAGTTGGGGTGTATGCTTCTGCCTGAACCCCAACAGTCTCTGCTCTTAAAAATACAATCTTCTATTTTTAGCAGGGCATGGTGGCCATGCCTTTAGTCCCTGCACTGGGCAAGCAGAGGGAGAGGGAGCTCTGTGAATTCCAGGCCAGCCTGGTCCTCATAGTGTTTCAGAACAGCCAAGTCAATATAGTGAGATCTTGTCTTAGGACAATCATCTTGATAACAATAAGTTGTAACTCTCTCTCTCTCTTTTCCTCTGTACGGCCTTGGGTCCCTCCACCTACTCCATACAAAGGGGTTGGACTCAGGGTGGTCTCCAGACTTCAGCAATTCACCCTTCCCTTCATCAAGGTACCACTGGGAATGTCCTAGCACCTACCCAAGGGTCCTGGAAAGGAAGGAGGGAGGAGGGGTAGGAATTGGTGGGAAAAAGTCTGGGTGGTCCTCAGATACTCACGGTCATCAGCATGGACAATCTGGAAGTTCTTGACAGAAGCCTGAGTGACCCGACCCTGGAAGTTGAGGGTGTACGAGCCACTGTCTTCGTTCCAGACAGGTGGCTTGTTATGGAGTTCGATGAGGCTCTCCAGTGTCTTGTTCTGCCAACGTACTAGTAGCCCATCGCTGGACTGGGGTGCCCGAGGAGAGGTAACCGAGAAAGGGTGGTTAGAGGTGGCTAGGCTTGCTCAGGGGGCCAGGATGTGTGTGTGTGTGTGTGTGTGTGTGTGTGTGTGTGTGTGTGTGGCTGTTGGTCAGTCTGAATTGCCACGCGGACAGAAGGCATCAGCAGACGCAGGGAGAACCCTGCTGAGGAGAAGCCCTGTTGGGGGGACACTGTGGTAGAGAGTGGAAAGGTGCAGACGGAACCCAACAGGAGTTCTTGGTGGTCTAGAACCTTCCAGTTCTAGTCTTCCTCTGAACCTGGAGCTCATTGATTAGGCAAGGCTGGGTGATCAATGCCTTTAGGGATCCACCCATCTCCTCCTGCCCAGTGCTGGGTTACGGGAACTGTGCTCAACTTCTGCATGGGTGTTCCCCAGTACCCTCTGCACTCAGGGTATAGACTTGTGCAATGGGAACTTTATTAACAGAGATATCTCCAAGTCCTCCTTTTTATTCGTGTGCATGAGTCTGTGTGTGTGTGTGTGTGTGTGTGTGTGCGCAAGTGCGTGTGTTTTCAGGGTGCTGTATAGTCCAGGCTGTCCTCAAACCCCCTTGTATAGCTGAGGATAACCTTAAACTTCTGATCTTCCTGCCTCTACCTCCTGAGTGCTGGGGTCACAGGCATGAACCATGAAACCTGGGTTTTGTGGCACTGGAATGGAACCCAGCACCTCCTGCCTGCCGGGTGAGCTCCCTGCTAGGTGAGCCCACCCCATCTCTCTCTCACTCACTGCTGTGGCACATTTAAATGTTGGTTCTTACTGAATGGGCTTAGAAGAAGCAACTGTGGGGCCCAGGGAACCTGCAGGGCCCAGCTTCCTGGCCAGCTTGGCGTCCTAGGACGGCCTGTCCACCCAGGACTGCCTAGCTTCCCACCGGGAGGATGCATGAGCAGCTGATAGGGCTATTACTTTTCACCAGAAAGAGATAAAGGGACATCAGTCACTGAAGAGCATGAGACACACCCGTCACTGGTCTCTGAGATCCTGGGCTCACACAGCCTACAAGAGCGACAGAGCCCAGGATGGTTGGTTAGTTCTCCCTCTTATCCCACCCTGGGTACTCTCCAACTTTGCCTCTTTAAAGTGTCGTTCCATGGCCCCAAACCCCAATATGACTTCTCATTTCTCTAGGAGCAAAAGCCAGTTAACCAGGTCCCTTCCACCTCTAGGAATCACCTCAGCTCTTGTGACCTTTAGCCCTGATGGTCACCCTATTGACCTCTTAACCCATCAGGTACCTCTGCCTCAGGCTCCTTGTAAGGCTCTCCTCGCTGAATGCCATGTCCCTAAACCTAGATCCCAGACACTAAAGACCACTCTCCTTCCATCGATGACAGCCATGAGCCTCTGCTGTCCTCCTCTGCTCCCCCCCCCTTCCCTAACACTTAATATCTCCCAGACTTTGCTCATTTGTCACAGTCGCTGTCTGCAGTCCACCCTCATCCATCGGGACTCCAGCTTCAAGAGGGATCGTACGTCTTTCATAGCGGTGCATGTCTTTTTACCTGAGTGTGTGGAGGCAGAGGCAAGCAGATCTCTGAACTCAACGCTGGCCTCGTCTACTTAGTGAGACTCTGCCTCAGAAACAACCCCCTCTATCCTCCAAACAAACCTCAAGCCCTCTGAAAGAGCTTATCTGCTGAACCGTCTCTCCAGCCTTATTTATTTCTTTGAGACAGTGTTACAAGTAGCTTAGGCTAGCCTGGAAACCTATTTATTTCTTTGAGACAGTGTTACAAGTAGCTTAGGCTGGCCTGGAACTCTCCTGCTATCTAGCTACAGACGGCTCTTAATTACTGATCCTGCCTCCACCTCCCAAGTTCTGCGATTACAGGAGTATGCCACCGTGCCTGGCATGAATTCAATCACAGGGAACCTGAGCTCATTCTACAAGTGGCCAGAGGAATCTGTGACAAGTGTACCCAGGAGAGTCACTTGGCCAAGCTGGATCCCTGGCCCTGATGTTGAGTGGATGAACAGAAAGAGCAAGACTCTGGGGAACAAGGGGTAGGATAATAGAGGCTCACGTTTCGGGGCCGGATAGGGACCCTCTCGTTGTCCGAGTTCATTCCAGGGATGATGACGGTCATACGGCGGGGTCCTCGGAAGCCTAAAACATTGGTTTCCTGAAACAAAGAGAGGGAGGGCATCAGGCTGCATCCCACCTGAGGAGAGCCTGGCATGGCGGGGACAGTGGCTTCTCACATAGACCACAGCTGCCAGCTCCTGGCGCAGGCTTCCCACGTCACCTCCTCCCCCTCGCTGAGGGTTCTGCCCGTTGTCAAAGACCGTGAAGCGGTTCCCCAGGAGGTTAGACCTGAGGATGGAGAGAGAGTTGGGCTAAGGCAGAGGAGTACCCACCACCTCCCACCCCAAGAGCCTTCCCACAGCCTCCCAGGGAGAGCAAGGGGTGGTGTGTGTCTTAGGACTAAGCATGTCATGTGCCTGATTCGGGCTTCTCTTAAAGGGAAGGAGAGCTTTTAAGAGAATTCTTATTATTTATCGTTGTTATTTTGAGACAGTCTGGCTGTGGGGCTCAGTGGCACCCTGCTAAGTCTTCTTTGCGTGCCTCAGGCCCTAACTTCAATCTCCAACAGCAGGAAAAGCAGAACCAGATGTGGCAGAAACAGCTGCATTTGGCAGGTGGAGGCAGAAGATCAGGAATTCAAGGTCATCCTCCAGTGTGTGTAGTGAGATTCAAACCAGCCTGGGCTACATAAAACCCTGTCTCAAAAAAAAAAAAAAAAAAAGTAAGGCTGGCAAGGTGGTAGTGTCACAAGCCTGAGGATCCGAGTTCAATCCCTGGTATCCACACAACGGTAGAAAGAGAGCTAACGCCATACAGTTGCCCTCTGACCTCCACACGAACATACGCCAGCATGTCTGTGCCTGCACACGCCACACCCGCCTAATAAGATTAAGAAAGAATAAAGCAAATCATTTAAATGTCTGCTCCATCTGTGTGGCCCTAGGAAGCAGGACAGTCTCAGGTGCCCTACTTGGTTGGCATTGACTATTCTTTAAGTTGACTTATTGATTTTGTGTGTGTGTGTGTGTGTGTGTGTGTGTGTGTGCACAGCGGAGGTCAGAGAACAACTTTCAGGACTCAGTCCTCTCCCTCTGTCATGTGGGTCCCTGGGATTGAACTCCCGTCATCAGGTTTGGTGGCAACCCCCTCACCCTCTTTGCCATCTTGCTGGCCCTCAGCTTTCCCACCTGTAAATCAGAACAGCTACAGTGCCCCCTCTGGTTTGGTTCGTAAGAAAATACAATATTTAGCTAATATTTGGAAAGTGTTTAGAACTATGTCCGAGATTCAGGGAGGCCCCTACATGCCTTTTGTTAAATATGGAAGCAAAATAAGTCCTCAGGGTAGCTGGACGGCCGTATGGGGAGTCATCCTGGTGACATTGAGTACCTCCCTCTCTTGTTCATTCACCCAGTAAATATTGTTTTTGAGACTGTCACACAGTATAGACCAGGCTGGCCCTGCCTGCCTCTGCCTGCTGGTGCTGGGATGCAGGGTCTCAAGAATTCCTGTTAAACTTGAACTTGCCAAGGCTGGCCCTGAACTCTGGATCCTCCTGCCTCTACTTCCCAAGTATTGGTTTTACAGACTTGTTCCATGACACCTGATTTATATGGTGCTGGGACCAAATGTGGTTTAGCAACTAAGTTGCATTCTCTCCCACCCCCTTTCAGACAGGGCCTAATGTAGCCCAGGCTGGCCTCCAGTTCCTTACACAGGGAAGGATGACCTTGAATTCCTGATATTTCTTGTCTACTTCCCAGCTGCTGGGATTATAGGCGCCCACCACCATGCCCTGTAGTATAACCTCCCTGATTCTATGTGGGAAGTGTTAGCTCTCAATGACAAGGACCACATGCCTGGCTTTGCCTGCACGGAGCTAGATCCTTGGTATGTCTACACGCTCCCCATCCCCTGGGGGAGGTGTTGGCAAGCTCCCCCCAAAACCATCAAGACAAGGTCCCCCAAGATATCTATGCATGTCAGAGTGTGAAATGCCCTAGGCTGGGAGATAGCTCTGGAGCACCCCGTGGGGGGAGCACCCCGTGTGGAGGGAGCACTCCGTCAGCCATAGAAGGACAGAAGCCCAGTTGCACCTCAGCTTCCCGATGAAATTCTCCCCTCCCCTGGACAGGTTGGTGGGGTCGCTGGAGATGAGATAGTTGGCGGTCTTACTCCGCTTTCGTTTCCTGCCGGCCAGGAGGAACACCTGAAGAGAAGAGAGGTGACAGTGAGGGAGATGAAACTGGAGGACCAGAGAGGCCGTAGATGCTCAAGTCCTAGACGCCCCTCAGCCCCAGACACCACCCCCAGCCTTCGACACCGCCCCCAGCCCTAGACACCCCTAGCCCTAGATACCACCCTCAGCCTTCGACCCCCAGCCCTAGACACCGCCCCTAGCCCCAGACATGCCCCGCCCCCTTTCTCAGGACCTTCTTCTCCGTGTCCAGATGCAGGAAGTAGGATGGGTACATGCCGCGGTCCATGCCCTTCTTGTCCCGTGTCAGCCGGCAGCGTACTGCCCGGCCCTGGGGTGCTGGCTGCAGTACAAACTCTCGGGGTTCACCCACTTCCACAGGGGGAGATGGGGCTCTCTCCTCCTTCTGCGTGGACAGATGGTGCATCAACCAGGGCACCCTGCTCCATAGGTCCCGTCTCTGCACCCCAGGGAGAGCAGGCCACCACTTACCACTTTCTGGAGGGAGAAAAGATCTAGGTCTAGCATCCAGACCTGGGAGCTGCGGCGCCTCGTTATGCCAGCCCCGGCAGCCCAGCCCCATGATAGAAGGCTCTAGATTCTGTGATGTATTATAACTATCTAGCCTGAGTACACACAGTCCCAGTTAGAGTCCTTGTTCTACCACCAAAGGTCTGTCAGCTGGGTATAAAGTTCCTGTTTTCATTTTCTTTCTTTCTTTTGTTTTTTTTTTTGTTTTTTGCTTTTTTGTTTTTTTTTTTTTGTTTGTTTTTGTTTTTGTTTTTGTTTTTCGAGACAGGGTTTCTCTGTGTAGCTCTGGCTGTCCTGGAACTCACTCTGTAGACCAGGCTGGCCTCGAACTCTCGAACTCAGAAATCTGCCTGCCTCTGCCTCTCAAGTGCTGGGATCAAAGGCGTGCGCCACCACCGCCCGGCTTCATTTTCATTTTTAAAAATAGTCTCAGATAGCCCAGGCTAGCCTCAAACTCTTGATGTTCTTCCCTTGACCTCCCAAGTGCTGGGATAACACTACCTACTATGACCAGTTCTGTTGTAGTGGTGATGTTTTTTTTTTTGTTTTGTTGTTCTTTTTTTGTTTGTTTGTTTGCTTTTTGGTTTTATTTTTGTAATACATATGAGTGTTTTGTCCACATGTCTGTGCACCACATGTGTGCCTGGTGCCCTTGGAGGCCAGAAGGGGGTACAGGAACCCCTGGTACTGCAGTTATGAGTTGTTGTGAATGACCACGTGGGTGCCGGGAAACTGAACCCAGGTCCTTTGCCAATGCAGCCAGTGCTCTAACCATTGAGCCATCCCTCCAGCCCCTATTTAGTTTATTTGAGATAGGGTTTCACTATAGGGCCTCGAAGTCTATAGCCCAGGTTGGCCTCTGTAGCCCAGGCTAGCCTCACTGCCATCCTCCTTAACTTCCCAGCGCTTGGAGTAGAAGTCTGGACCACCATGCCTAGCTCTCCAAATAATAACTCTCTTTCATTCTCCTTAACACACTGGGGTAGCTGTCCCTATTGTATAGAAACTGGGGTCCTGTCTTGTGTATAGGATCTCAGTCTATATGGAGAGGAAAAGGCCTCTAACCAGTGACTGAAACAATGTAGGAACTGTTCCTCGCCAGGCTTCCGAGGGACTACAGCTCTGTGCGACACCCTGAGCCCACACAGTTCTGTGAAGCAGTCGCTAGATTTATTTATTTTTAGATTTTCTTCGCAGGAGAAAGCAAATCCTCTGAAGGCGCTGAAGCTTGGGGGCTGTTTGTTACTCGGCAAGACATAGCTGACTCATGAACCTGTCAGCTCACTCTGCTCTTGGAGAATTTCCTAGTAACACCAGTTCCAGGAGGAGGCAGGGTGAGCCCTGGTGCCCTTTCACCCCCTGCTCAGTTTGTGACAGGTGGGAAACTGGGACTCAAGTCCCTCAGGGGACAGATTGGACCTATCAGGCTGAGGTTTCAGCATCTGAGGCTTCTGGAGTTATCTATGGTAACAGCCCTTTGCTGAGGGCGGTCCTACACTGTGCGTGAGGTAAGGCACAGCCTGGGGACAATGCCAAGGGGTAAATGACCGTCTTGACTGGACTCCAGCCTGCTCCAGAAGAAACTTGGGAAACACCAGATTATGTGTGGAATGTGAGCTGGGAAAACTTACTCAAACATTTCTAACACCTGTGAATTTCAAAAGCCTGCGGCTCCGAGGGCTGCCTCTACCTGAGGTAAGATACAGTGGCCACCAGCCACAGGGATCTGGGTTACTGAGGAACCCATCCCTGAAGACCTGACACTCCTCCACAAACTATTAACCCCGAAAGCTCTGACCAGGGCTGGTTCTTGTGCTGCTCTCTCGTCAGAGGAGCTGTGTACGGCCATCTCAGCCAGGCCTCCGGTTGTCTGTGAACTCAAGCGTGTGTGCCTACGCTGTCCTTCAAAGTACTTAGCAACACATCTTGACTGTGGAAGACGTCCAGTCAGAATGGACTCTACTTTGGGAAACATTCTGGAGCCTTTGGCAGCCGGACATCAATTGACTATTTTATTTAAAGATGTATTATTCTAAGCCGGGCGGTGGTGGCGCACGCCTTTAATCCCAGCACTTGGGAGGCAGAGGCAGGCGGATTTCTGAGTTCGAGAGTTCGAGGCTAGCCTGGTCTACAGAGTGAGTTCCAGGACAGCCAGGGCTACTCAGAGAAACCCTGTCTCGAAAAACCAAAAAAAAAAAAAAAAAAAGATGTATTATTCTTTTTTACTTTGTATGACTGTTTTGCCTGAGTGCGTGGCTGTGTATCTCAGATGTGCCTGGTACCTTCAGAGTTCAGTAGAGGGCATCAGGGCCCCTGGAACTGGAGTCGTGAAGTGCCATGTGGGTGGTGCTGGGAATCAAATCGGGTTCCTTTGTAAGGGTGCCCAATTAGCTATCTCCAGCCGCTATCTATCTATCTATCTATCTATCTATCTATCTATCTATCTATCTAGTTAGTTTGGTTGATTTTGAGACAGGGTTTTTCTGTGTAGCTATGGCTAACCTATGACTGTCCTGGAACTCACTCTGTTGACCAGGCTGGCCTAGTACTCACAGAGATCCACCGGCTCTGGCTTCGGAGTGTTGGGATTAAAGGCATGAGCCACCATTACCCAGCTTGCTTTCTTTTCTTTTCTTTTCTCTTTCTCTCTCTCTCTTTCTCTCTCTCTTTCTTTCTTTTTTTCTTCCTTGGCCCTATCTTATTTTTGAGGCAGGGTCTCATGTAGGCCAGGTTTGCCTCAACCTCAGGGTGTAGCTGTGGTTAGCTCTGAACAACCTGATCCTGCTGTCTGCACTTGCCAAGCGCTAGGTTTGTGTGCATATGGAACCGGGGCTGTTCTGTCCACAGGTCCTGAGGGTGAGCTCAGAGGAGCGTTTAAAAACTGGTCCAGCTAGCCAGTTTCAGCCCTTTGACGTTCGCAAAGGTGTCTAGGGTGTGCCTCAAGGGAGCCTAGAATCCTAGCACTCACACCTGAAATCCTAGTGTCGAGAGTTCCAGGGTAGCCTGGGCTACATAGCAAGACTTTATCTGTGCCTCTCCCCTCCCCCCCCCAAAAAAAACCCTGCCCTGTTTCTGAGTGCTCAACCTCCCTAGAACACATGTCCTCTAGCTGGGAGCTAAAAGATAGTCCTGCAGCCCGTGAGTTCCCTGTCTCTTCTGTTCCCACGAACCTGATCTTCCTAGTCCTTGTGCCCTGTCACACGGATGGGGAGCCAAGCCCTCACCCCGAAGTCCTGCGGGACCCTCGGGTCACAACCTTTTTGCCTTTCCCTTTTGCTCTGCCCTTCTGGTTGCTGTTCTTCATCACTACAGATGCATCCTCCTCTTCCTCCTCTTCTTCCTCCTCCTTCTTCTCTTCCTCTGAGCCTTTGGGAGGCCCTGAGCGTGGAGAGGGAAAGGCTGTAAAACCCCCTCATCCCTGGGCCAGGTTTTCCAATACCCATCATCTTTTTTGTCAGAGCCTGGCTGGCGATCAGGGGTATCAAGAAGCCTGCCGCGTGGTGTCGCTCTCACCTACACCCGTCACGGGACACTGCACACACAAAGTCCACGGTCCCAGCACCCTTGAGCCACCCACCTTTCTTCTTCACACCCTTCTCAGCTGCGCCACCTTCCCCAACCAGGAACATGGCTGCTGGAATCTTCTTCTTCACGGCTGCTGGGCTCCCCGAGGGGTCCTTGTCAGACTCCCCAGACCCTTCAGACAGGATACAGAGTCACCACAGCACCACACCCAGTGTCCCCCAGCCCCACCCCACCCCCGCCCCGTGTCTGGTCTTACCTTTTTTCTTTGCCTTTCTCAACTTGGTTCCCTCCCCTACCTCCTTCTTCTTGGTTCGGAGTGGTTTCCGAGGGGCATTGGGGCTTCCTACATCTCCTGGGAACAGGAGATGGGGGGGGGGGGGGCTGGATCAGGGAAGGAAGGAACCTTTTGGGACTGAGGGCTACCTTCTACCTTCAGGTCCCTGGGGGTGCCAAAACCAGACAAGGGTCTGTTGGTCTTGTGTTAACTTTTTTTTTTCTAAGTCTGAAAAATGATCTGGCTAGGAACCAGATTAAGAGGCAGGGACGGAATGAATGGGCCACGCTAGGCCTTCACTTGAACCTCTGAATCCTCCTTCAGCTTCTCCTGAAGGGACCGTCCCCAGCCCCTTAGCCTCTGCCCCTCCACAGTGACCCAGTTCCAGTGTCCCACACATTTCTGACCCGACCTTCCTGGGCAGGTGCCCAGGCCTGGCGCCATCAATGTCTTTAGCCACAGATATATTTGTTTGTTAGTTAGTTTGTTTGTTTGTTTTTGAGACAGGGTTTCTCTGTGTAGCCCTGGCTGTCCTGGAACTCACTCTGTAGACCAGGCTGGCCTCGAACTCAGAAATCCACCTGCTTCTGTCTCCCAAGTGCTGGGATTAAAGGTGTGCGCCACCACTGCCCGGCCAGATTTTTTTTTTTTTACCTTTATTTATTTTATTAAAATTATAACGCTAATCTACATGAGGCAAAACCCCACCAAGAAAACAGTCCTCCTCCTGGAGCACCTCTGTAGTTTATAGCAGCCCCAGAGCTGATCTCCTTAGAGACCGCCAGTGTGTGGAGGGGGAGGGCGTATGGCCTCTTCACAAGGTCGAAAGTGATGGGGGCCTTGGGATCTCGCCCGCCCCTCCAGAGGATTCTCTGCCTGTTCTTGGGCTCCTGGGTGCTCCCTGCACCTACCCTTTGATCCCAGAGCCTTGGCTTTCCTCTCTCTCTCCTTGGGTGCTTTCTTGGGGGGCAGAGAGCTTTTTTCTTTTTTCCCCTCTTTCTTCTCCTCTTCTTCATCATCATCGTCATCATCATCCGAATCCTCCTCCGAATCCTCCTCTGTGGAGAAAAATTCTCCGATAAAACAAGTTCCAGAGGTTTAGTCCCTGCAGGGTGCTACGGGGCTCCCAGCACCTTCTGCTGTGGGTTTTGGTGGGAGGCGCTCTGCTCAGTCTCCCTGTCATCCTCCCTCCTGACTGTCTGTCTGTCTGTCTGTCTGTCTGTCTGTGTATTCCAATCTGCCTTCCCATCGTCCGCACTTGCCGTTGTGCGGCTGCTTCTGACCCATCTGGGGTACTTATGGTTACTAGCTCAAGGTTGGACTCCTGCTGCCTCAGTTTCCCTATATTGTAGCGGGTGTGTGTGTGTGTGGGGGGAAGATCAGGGGAACCATACTCCGGGGCTGGGTGCTGGGGGTGATATCTGCTTCCCAGGGCCAGCTGGCACCGTCTGTCCCTCACCCTTTCCCCGTCACTCACCACCTCCCATGTCTGGGGCGCGGGCAACCAGGAAGGTCTCCCGGGGGTCCCGCTTCTTGGCCTCGGGGTCCCTCAGGAACTTGGCGTAGACTGTCTGCGCAGCGCGCGGCTCCGCGGGGTCTGCGGACGGTTCCCCGTGCTTCCTGCGCCCAGCTGGAGCCAGATCTCGGGCTCAGCAGGGTCCTGGCCTGGAGGTCCCCACTTCAGCCTCCCGCTCCCGCACCTTCCCGCCTCCACCCCCCCAACCCCGCCCAGGACTCACCTCCAGCTTTATGGGGTTTGGATTCCGGGGACTCGGGGGTCTCGGATTTCTTTTTCCTCAACTTCTGTCCCTGGGCGGGTCGCTGCGGAATAGGGGTCATGGGGCGAGAAGGGGACTCTAGGGTTCCCATCCCCCTCTAATCTCCTGTAGCCACCAGAAATAGCCTCGGATTATCCCAAGGGGTGCTGCAGCTCCTGCTCCGGGTGGATGTCCTGTCCACACATGGTGGTCACTTCCAAGACCCAAAGCCCCCCACCAAGTCCTTCTGGGTACCCCACATCCTAACCCCTCTTTCTTCTTCTAAACTCGTCAAGCCAAGAGCTGCAGGTGCTGGTGAGAGGACCTCTCCCGGGCAGCCCCCCTTCCTGTGCACACCAGAACATCTTTGCACCTCCTTTCCAATCCCCAAACCGGGTGACACACCTGTTTGGGGCGCAGCGGGGGCTCGGGGCTCAGAAAGTCCTCTTCGTGGCCGCTGAGGGTACAAAGGAACCAGGCTGTTCCCTTCTTGCATTCTACTCTCTCCCTCCCCCCTGAGGCCCAAAACTAGGGTTTGGGGTTCAGGCGGGGTGATGTGGTGGCTCCCACCTGTCTGACGCCCACACTTCCCGAAGGGTCTCCTCCTGCAGTGGCATGGTGCTCTTGTGTGCCTGTCAGGGCCACCACCCCTCTCTGGTGACTTGAAGCTCCCAGCCTCCCTTCCTCCCTAGCTAATCTCGGCTCAGCTTCTCCCCACCTTCCGGGCCAAGAGGCCACCAGGACGCACCTCTGAGGACGAGATGTTCCAGTCCCATGGACTCAACCATTGAAGGGAAGAGCCCAGTTCTCCTCACCTTCTTCCAGACTGTCTTCCCCTCCCTCTCCCCAGACAGGGTCTCACTCTGTAGCCAGGGCCTTCCTGTGTAGGCTAGCCTGGGACCCAAAATTCTCCCGTCTCCTGTGTGTGAGGATTGCCAGCATGTGACACCATACTCAGCCTGAGATATGCTCATTTAAAAATGTATACATTTATTTATTGCACGCGTGGGTGGGACACATGTCATGGTTTATGTGTGAAGGGGTCCTGACTACAAATCAGTTCTCTCCTTCCAGGGTGTGGCAGCCTGTGTGTGCTCGTGTAAGCCATTTTTCCAGCTTGACTTTTCTTTTAAGACAAAGTTTCATTATGTAACCCTAGCTCATCTAGAACTTGCTATAGACCAGGCTAGCCTTGAATTAATTCCCAGGGATACAAGGTTTCACTATGTAACCCTAGTTCATCTAGAACTTGCTATAGACCAGGCTAGCCTTGAATTAATTCCCAGAGATACAAGGTTTTACTATGTAGCCCTGGCTCATCTAGAACTTGCTATAGACCAGGCTAGCCTTGAATTAATTCCCAGAGATCTGCCTGCCTTTGCCTCCCAAGTGTAAAATTTCCTTGTCTTGCCAGCTTGGCTTGAGAAACACTCTTTTAAAGGTCTGGGGCCTTTAGAATATTGGTGTGAGAGACGTAACGTGCGTGGTTGGGTAAAGGGGTCCCCAAAGCTTCCAGATCAGGGAGGGAGTCTTGCTAGACACAGGCCCAGGGGTCACCAATAGCCTGTGTGCTGGAAGGCATGGGTCACTGGAAGGCAGCTCCTGAGCCTGCCATTGAAGAGCTGATGCCCCACCCCCACCCAGTTCCCTCACGAGCCACATGGTGTTGGTATCCTGGAGGAAATGAGGTGACAGAGGAGAAGTGTACACAATACTCTCTGTGGGCGCCCTTCTTCAGTGCCCGCTCCCTCTCCCCTGCACACGTCACACATCTTGACCATGGTTTGATTTCACATAGCAATTTTTATTTCACTTGGGATTCACAGGGGTGCTCTTAATCACTGAACTATCTCTCCAGCCCCTCAAAAAAAAATCTTAATAAAAATAATTCTAAGGGCTGGAGAGATAGCTTAGCGGTTAAGGGTACTGGCTGCTCTTCCAGAGGTCCTGAGTTCAATTCCCAGCAACCACATGGTGGCTCACAACCATCTGTAATGGGATCTGATGCCCTCTTCTGATGGGTCTGAAAGCAGCTGCAGTGTACTCAGATTCATTAACTAAATAAACAAACAAATAAATAAATCTTTAAAAAAATAATTTTAGCCAGGCGGTGGTGGCCCACGCCTTTAATCCCAGCACTTGGGAGGCAGAGGCAGGCGGATTTCTGAGTTTGAGGCCAGCCTGGTCTACAGAGTGAGTTCCAGGTCAGCCAGGGCTATACAGAGAAACCCTGTCTTGAAAATAATAATAATAATAATAATTTAAAAAAACAAAACAAAAACCAAGGGCTGGCAAGATGGCTCAGTAGGTAAGAGGGGCTTGCAGCTGAGCTCAAAGACCTACATTCAATCCCCAGAACTTACATGATGGGAAGCCAAGTCCAACTCTTGTAAGCTGTCCTCTGACCTCCACATGTGTCCCAAACCACTCCACACACACACACACACACACACACACACACACACACACATACTCTAAACATAACTTTAAAAATAAAAATAAATGATTTTTGGGTCATCTTGAGTAGAATGTATTCGAACTTCCTCCCCTTGACAGCAACATCTTAATTCCCTAAAATCAGTTCAGGCAGGGACCACCCCCAAGGGGACTCTGAGAAAAGCAAACCTCTGAGGGTTAATGGCTTGAGGCGTGGGAAGGGGACTCAGGTGGGTCAGAGGTGACTGTCGATCTTGAGTATCCAGCATCCAGGTCGAGCGTCAGGCCTGGCTCACAGATAAGCTTTGATCTGCTTGCCTCCTGGACTGCAGGACAAACAGACTTGGACTCTATAATTACACCTTGTTTTGAACTGAAGGGACATTTCTCAACCAGATCCCTGCCTGGCCTTAGTCACCAGACTCAATTCCACATAAATTTAGCTGCTTTCAAAAATCAACTTTCAGAAGACAAGAGATTGCCTGGTCCTCAAGTTCACCCCAGCCACACGCTCCCATGACTCATGACTTAAGTCACATGCCTAAAGCGTCCCAGCTTGCGCTCAGTGAATCCAGACAAGACACCTACTATGGGCCTGGTATTTTTTATTTTTACAATATCGTTTTAGAAAACAATATTCGCCGGTTGGTGGTGGCACACGCCTTTGATCCCAGCACTTGGGAGGCAGAGGCAGGCGGATTTCAGAGTTCGAGGCCAGCCTGGTCTACAGAGTGAGTTCCAGGACTGCCAGGGCTATACAGAGAAACCCTGTCTCGAAAAACCAAAATAAATAAATAAATAAATAAATAAATAAATAAATAAATAAATAAATCACCAGTAGACACATGCCCTTTCCCCTGTGACTAACTGCATCTAACACGGGAGAATTCTAGCAACTGACTGATACTTTGTGAAGTGCCTACTATATTCCCGGTACCCTATGTCAGGCAGATCCCACAACCTCCTGTCACAGATCAGGAAACTGGGTAGGTATTGGGGGGTGTGGGGGTGACCGACGACGGATGACAGACCAGGAACAGGACTTAACTTCAGGCTCCCTGGCTCCCCCTAGTGGCGGAGAGGCGAGGAAGCCGGGAGGGACCACGGAGAAAGCTAAAGTTGTGTCTTCAGCCAGAAACAAACTGCATGTGTGCCCTGCAACACCCATCCCAGCCTGGTGACGACCGACAACTGTCCTTGCTGCAGCTTCTCCATCCACGAAACTCGTGTGCTCATTGGAAGGGTTACATCCTCCTGATGGGCTTTCAGACCCCCAGGAGCAGTGTTAGGGAGCACTCTACTGATTAGAGACGGCTCAGTGGTTAAGAGCACTGACTGCTCTTCCAGAGGTCCTGAGTTCAGTTCCCAGCAACCACATGGTGGCTCACAACCATCTGTAATGGGATCTGATGCCCTCTTCTGGTGTGTCTGAAGACAGCTACAGTGTGCTCACATACATAAAATAAATAATTTGAAAAAAAAAAGTTTAACAAAGGAACCCCCTTTGGCCATCAGATTATAGAGACAATGGTCACCAAAGAATTGGGATGTCCCCAGGATTCTCATGCTGAGAGAAGGAAGCCTGTGTACCAGCTAGAGGGGAACTGTCTCCCAGGAAAATATTTTCATACTTTCCTGGCAATGGCCAGACCCCGGAGAGACTGGCGCCCCGACAGCACTGAGGAATGGGTGGGACCACGCTCTGGCCTGGTCTGCTGAGCGCTGCGGCTCTGCGTACCTCACGACTCCATTAAACATAAACCTCACTTCAGAGTCCCAAAGATGGACGGACTCGAGGGTCACTGGGCCTCTTTGTTTCTTGTTTCAGTGTGTCCATGCTGAATAAATCTTCTTTTTCTGCTTTTCATTATGACTGTCTAATTATTTATTTTTGAGGGTTTGTTTTTGTTTTTTTGTTTTTGTTTTTAAGCCAGAGTCTAACCATGTAACTCTGGCTGGCTTTGAACTCACTGGTTTCTTGTGCCTCTGACCCTGAGCTCCAGGGTTTGCGACCTGCTGAGAGCAGATAACTTAGTCTGGGTTAAGGCTGCCAGGACCCAAGCGCTCACCCTTAACTCTGCTAACAGTGGGGCTGTCTGCCGCAGACAGAGTAGCACACATTCCAACATACCTGTTAAAGAGGGCAGGGTGCACGCCTTTAAGCCCAGCACTCAGGAGGCAGAGGCAAGCAGATCTCTGTGAGTTCGAGGCCAGCCTGGTCTACAAAAATGAGTTTTTTTGTTTTTTTGTTTTTGTTTTTTTTAAGAAACCTTGTCTCAAAAAAAAACAATAAAAACCCAAAAAACATTTATTTTCGTAATTTTGCTTCTGTTGTAGATCGTAATGTAAACATCTGTGTTTTCTGATGATCTTAAGGGACCCTTATGAAAGGGTCGTCAACCCAAAGGGGTCGCGACCCCAGATTGAGAACTATTGAACTTAATAAGGTTAGTGGGCCGCCAGTTGGTTTCCGCCATGTCTGGGGATAGGGATGGCCCAGATGAGCGTGCACCGACTCACCACCAGGTGGCGGCAGAGCCCACCCATGGGGGGCGGCCACTGTACAAGAGGCAGGTGTGGGACTTCTCCATCCTCTCCATTCTCTCCTCCTCCTCCTCCTCCTCCTCCTCCTCCTCCTCCTCCTCCCCCTCTTCTTCTCCTCCTCCTCCCTGAAGCCTTCTTCTCCCTCCTCCTTCCCCCCTCCCCTCTCTCCTTCCTTTCCTGAAATTCAACTTTTGGGAGTGAAGACACCTAGACATTGTTAGTCACTGGTCAAGGAAGTGACCCAGACACTTTGTGGGACTCCTAAGCCCTGAAGTCACAGAAGGGTTGAGGGGCCTTTGGGCAGGATGGCCCTGAATCGGCTAGGTGAGAAAAGGCACACCAGGTTCTTTTAAAAATCTGCATTTCTGGAACTGACTCAGTCACTGGTTCCGGATCTCTCTGCAAATGGGGTCCCTGTTCTTAACCAGAGGAGAAATACAGCCTGGTGCGCAGATACAGGGAGGGGATCCCCACCTGCGTGGAGGGCGAGGACCAGCATCGGTGGCTTACTCTCCTGCTCTCACCGGGCTCTCTCTGAGCTGGGTGGCTGACTGGCTCAACTGACCCACAAACTTGGGATCCGTCTCTGCCTCTCTGTGTTAGTCAGGGTTTCCTAGAGGGATCAACGGAGGGTGTGAGCCTTGTGTGAGTGTGTGTGTGTGTGTGCTGAATGTGTGTATGTGTGAGCTTAAGTGTAGGTGAGTGTGAACATGTCTGCAAGTGTGAGTG